TTGCGTTGATTTTCTTTACTGTTACCAACATTAACAACTAATAAACGAACCCGTCAATAAGAGCGTTATTCTGATAAGTCACCTAATAATAACAAAAAAAATCATTAATTTGAACTATGCGAGACTTTTCGCTTCCACATCCGTTGTTAATGAGACAGGTAGACATTATGTATAATTAAAATAATATTAAATATTAATCCCGGCCCCTGAGCTGGAAATTTTTTTTAATGTAGTGATATTAATCTTCCGAAAGTACGTTAAATAATTAGCTTGGTTAAATTAGTAAAGAATAGTGTTACTCATTTAAATCTTCTAACTCTTGTCACTCTTTCGTTCAAAATAACGTGTACCCTGAAAATCGTTTATATGTAACTTATTACTTTTGACAGTTATGTATCGAATTCGTTTGGGTTTTGTACAAAAAAAAAAAGTGTCCAAGCACTATTGGAATGGGTTCTGTTGTTTTCACGTTAATAACGGTATTGTCGACTATCGTTATCGTATATAATCCTTTATTTATCATGTAAAGTCTCTACGTCCATTCCGCGGTATATCCATCCTCTGGAAACATTGATATTGTGATCAAAAAATTCATTTTGGTGTGTGATGAAAGTTCATTGTTAAGTCGTGTTATGTTGGGACTTGATAACATCTTTTTGTAGAGAGACTACGAAGTCTCCGGTTGGTATTTGTCTAACACAACTTAATAGGTTGTCAAGCTTAAATTTTTTTAATTAGGGTTAAAGTCAGGTTAAGAGAGTTATTGGACACCGGTTTTGTGGATTTCGTCAGTGTATTGTCACGGTCTCAACGTGGTTTGTGGCATTTATTGTTATCAAGCTTGTTATAGTTTACACATGGTAAATTTTCTTTATTTTTTTTTTAGTCCCGGTCACTAATGGAGTTTAGGATGGTATTAAGGAAGGGTTACGGAAGTAGGACTACTTTAATTTAGAGAGACATACGTTCGGTGACATAACTAGTTGGCGTTTACATTCGTCCACACCCAGTATAATCATGACATGACGTTCTCAGTCCCTTTGGCGATTGGCGGTGTAGATCGAAGGTTCGATCCTTGAGATATTACAAAACGTTAACTGCCAACTATGAACGTCTCGAACACCGACGCCCTATATTCTAGGATATAAGACGTATGATAAACGTTTGTTGGTCACTGGAGACTAACTGCCGAAGGTAGGCAGACTAAAAAATTTGTTTTACTAGGGTAGGTGACCCGGTTGGTTTGCCTAGAGTAGTCGAAAGAAGCAAATACAACCTGATAACAAGTGATGCACTTTAAACAACAACGACTTCAGTACTTTTGCAGCATCTAACACTATCTGAGTTTGTTCATTGAGTAGTTTTCTGTTGGATGTGATTTTTTTCCATCTGTGTCGGATTGATTTCAGTCCATTGGGACTTTTGATGTAGGTGTTTCACTTTTGCTTAAAGCGCCGGACGTTTTTTATTCACGCTAATTAATTTTACCGTATTCGGGTTTTGTTAGTTACTTTTTGCAATTAAATAAAGTTTGATTGCGGCAAGTAAAAAACCTATATTAATTGAGTAATTAATTGCGCCAATGTCAGTGGTCCGGATTATTGAGTTATAGTTTTATAGATTGTTATTGGAGTGTTAGATATTTATATTATTACCACCACTATGTTCATGTGGAAAGGGCTGTGTAAATTACATTGTTTATGTAGGGTGAGTATTTTAATACTCTA